TCTCCTGGAGTCATCTCCTCACCCCGTGCAGTTCAGTGCGTGCCCCCTGGAGTGACATTGTTCTCCTTGGCTTGGCCCGGAATGGGGGCGCCAGTAGAGGAAGCAAAGCCGAGCACCCCTACCTTCTTCCCAAGAGAAAGACCCTGCTTTCAAGCCCCCATTGCCCCATCTTCCCCAGCAGGCTCCCGAGGCCTGGCAGCCAGCCACTGCCCCTCCTGCTCCACTCCAGACCTCCTTCCCACCCCAGGACAGAGCCTACACCTTGGTTTCCCCCCAGCTGACTGCTCCTCTGTCTGGAAAATCTTGTTTTATTTGAAGAGCAGAACTGTTCCTTCCTCCCCCTTGGTGATGAGGAAACATTCTGTTGAATTTGGCACCCTCACTTCTGGGAGACCTTGGCTGTTTGTAATTCGATGCTATCAGGTTGTTACGTAACCTTTCCCTCTGGGAAGCTGCTTGCATCCTGGGCCTTCTGTCCGGTTTAAGGTAGGGGGTAGGGTGAGGAAAGGTCAAAGATGCTGAGGAGTGGGTGATAAAGTCAGGGACAAGGAACCTTGTCCCTTGGCCCTGGCCTGGGCAGGGCTTGTTGATGAGGACCCAGCACAAATCAAGAGTGTGCCTCTTCCTGGGCTTTGGCCACCAGGATTTGTGAAATATCCCCGTCTACAAGATCACGGCCACTCCAGGCCAGCAATAGTCCTGAGTCTGAGCTGAGGCTCCAGGAACCCGTGTTTCTAGAAAATCAGTAAAGTATTGGTATCCTTGGCCAGGGTACATATTTATGTTTAGAAATGAAGTCTGCTTCTTTTTTGTTGTTGTTGTTACCAGGGTTCGAGCTCAGGACCTTGTGCTTTCGAGGCAGGCAGAGTGCCACTGAGCTAAGTCCCTGGCTACAAAGTCTGCTTCTTGAGAGAGTTATAGAATGTGTACTCTGCAGAACAGTCACTTCTATAGGAGTCACAAATTCAAATACCTTCATGGGACAGGCTGATCTTCTAAAGGAACACAGGTTCACTTTGTCATTTGTGGGCAAGAGAAGGGATCCCGCAAACTGCAGAGAGGGCTCTGTCTAATGACATTCACACTTCGTTACAAAGCAGCTGGGCATGATGGTGCAATCCCACAGGGGACCCATCACAAGTGTGAGGCCAGCCTGGACAACTTTTTAATTTTGGGACCCTGTCTCAAAGTAAAAATCAAGCAAACAAACAAATAAATAAAGGCTGGGGTGCGGCTCAGTGGTACAGTAATTACCTAGCATGTACAAGGCCCTGGATTCAAGCCTCAGTACTGAAAAACAAATCAATTAAAAAGAAACATATACCTGCTAAGCAGCCAGAGGACGGCATCCAGTGTGTGAGATGTAAGGCTGATACCTGTGCTGTATGCTAACTGTAGGGTTTTTGTTTTTTTTTTTTGAGTGGGGAGTGGTTCGTATTTCTTGGCCACATTTGTGGTGGGCTCCATGCAAAAATACCTTGCTGTGAACTTTGTATTCATGATCTCATGAAACTGCTTCGGAAGCCCCATGAGCTAAATAAGTACAATTGTTTCCCTTCTTCATGGCCCAGAGGACTGAGGTAAGTTCTGCCCAAGGCCACATGGTGAGTTAGGAGTGGCCCTGGAGTTGGGAAGCAGGTTGGCCTGGCTCCGAAGGTGCCCTCCTGTGACCCTGTTCACAGTTCCCAAACTCTGGTTCTCAGACCCCTGGTGTTAGAGTCACCTAGAATCAGTGTTACCACTGGAGACTTAGCAAGTTAGGTTTTCTGGAGAACCCACATTTTCGGTGAGCTCTCGCCGGGTGTTTCTGAAGTGTGCCCAGTGCCTTTCTGAGTCAGTCGGGTCAGGGCAGCCGGGGCCTTTTGGAGAAAGGCGTGGGCAGTGGTGAGTCCTGTGCGGACTGCCCTTGTCACGATGCACCATGAAGCCATTCTGCTTCTGTAGCCAGGGAAGAACAGTCAGCAAATTCGTGAATCATGGCTCTGTTTATATTTTAGTTGCTGAGGCTAAATATTTATTGCTTTAAGTAAGAGATTCTGCTTTAATTAGAGTCATAACCAAGCACAAGTATATTGAAATGCATGCTCATGGCCCGAAGACAAGCATTTCTCAACAGACAGCCAAATGCAACTAACACTTTTAATGTACCAGTGCTGCGGATCAAAGTATTTAGGCTTATCTAACCCAACAGGCAGCTTTCGACTTTGAAGAGTGCGTAGAAGTTTCGTTTGTGGACTTATCTATTGTTCTTGTGTAATTTATCAGCACACTTTTATGACATGGTGTCATAAAGGTGGGATCAGCCTAAAGCACTGACGAAAAAGCACACAGTTTTGAAGTGCATCGTGTGTTTGCCGATCTCTCCTAGGAGGGGTGCGCTCCCCGTTAAATCAGTCGTGAGGAGAGCTTTGCAAGATGTTGATGTCTAAGCTCCAGCCAGGCCAGTTAGATCCCCGTCTCTGGGAAGGGGATATTGGGAGGGGTAGTTTTTAAAAAGCTCCCCAGTGATTTTAACATATGCTCAGGGATGAGAACGACTAGAGATTTAGAAGGTGTGTTGGCAGTTTAGTTAGTCCTGGATTCAAATTCCTGACTCTAGAGTTTGCCACCTGTGTGATGTTGGGAACTTACTTAACTCTGAGCTTTGGTTTCCTCATCTGAAACATAGAGACAATAGTGCCTAGCTCAAAATGTCATCATGTGGATGCAGTGAAGTATTGCAGGGAGGAGCATTTAACTTGGCACTTGGTAGGGGCTCAATTAGTTATGCTATGGTTACTGTTACTGTTATTAACTCGGAACGCATGTCCATGAACAGGAGCAGGAAGAGTATTGGGGACTAGGGACAGCTCTTCTGGACTTCATCTTTTGCTGGTGCAGATAACCCACAATAAACTCCATTTCATACAAGCACATTCAGCTGACGGTGGTTTTTCGCAACCCTGGGGATGAACCGAGATATTAGTCAGATAGTTTTTGTCCACCCCTAGCAGTGCTGGTGAGAGACTGGGGTTTGGAGTAGCACAATGCACAAGTCAGGAGTAATAAATGTGTGTGTTTTATACTTGCTTGCCCACGCCCTAGACTTTTACACTAAATGCTTTTGGAGTACGGGTCTGTGGGCCTTCGATCCCTTGTGTGGCTGGAACAGGTAGCTGTCGCCTTCCCTAGAAGCCAGCACCCAGGGTGCACCTGGATTAGCTGGCCACCTTGACGGTGTGGAGGAAGGTTGTCCCTTGTGGACCCACACTGGGGGCTTCCTCCAGCCACTCTCCCTCAGTCCCTGAATCTCATGTATGCTGCTCACATGTACATGCTTTATAACTGGCTGAGTCCCTCCTGAACCCACTAACTTCCAACATGCTGTTGAAAGAGGCCAAACAAATGAAACGCTTTCTCAGAAAAACATATCAGGAAGGTCAGTCACCTACAAAAAGGCCACATGAAAGGTCATGAAAAACAAGGACAGTCCCTACTGATGGCTTCCTTCTTGGAGCCAAATCCTTGGCCTTTTGTTAGCACCTGGCCTCAAAGGTTGAGCAGGTCCACTTGAATGCGGTGCACCATGGGGATGGAAACAGGCTCCATCTTTCATCCACTCAGACTCCAGGAATCCACAAAAATATCCCTAGGGGGCAAGGACAAGCTGAAGCACTGTGCACGTGTGGCCACTTCCTTTTTGGTGTTTGGGCTTAAGCTGCAGGACGAGCCATGCATTCCAAGGCCACACAGAAACACATTTTATGCTTGCTGGGGTTCTGGATTCTCTGCTCCATGGGTGTGAATAGTTAGATTCTGGGAGACCTGGCTGTGGATGGGAAGGCTGTATTTGGGAAATGTTGTGCTGGATCAAAGAGCTTCCCACCAGCCTGCAGACTTCAGTTGGCCTCTCCGGCCCCAGACCCTTCGACATAAACAGTCCATAGGATGGGGATTGTTTTGTGTTTTGTTTCCGACTTCAGTACTTGGGGGACTCCAGAGCTGGTTATGAGGAAGCCCCAGAATGCTGAGCATTTCCGGTGTGCTGTGCTGGGTCAGGGACATCGAAGGTTCCCCCAGCAACAGTGTGAGTACAGAGGGGTGAAGCCTCCCTCTCGGTCCCCCTGCATCCCCCCATTAATTGCTTTCCTTATTCACATGAGCCAAACATGGGGAAGTCGTGTGATCACAGCGTGTGTGAGCCACATACAACACTTTCCAAAAAGGCTTTTTACACGCGAACTTTGTGGAATCCTTGGCCTCTGGCTCAACCAGGATGAGGGCGGGGCCGTGTGTGGGAGTGGTGGGGATGGTCATGGTTCATTCAACCCAACGTGCATTCAGGATGTTTCCATGAAACATGACCTCATCTCTTCCAGCCCGCTGGTTATCATTATTCTGGTGGTCACTTGTGACTTAGTGGTTATAAAAATAACCTCTCTGGTTAGTAATGTGGAAATTCATAGATTGCATGTAGTTTATTCTTACCTCCCGCCAAGAGGCAAGAGGTTGGGGCTATTACTGACACTGTCTCTTCCGCATCAGAACAACTCATCCGTTCAAGAAAAAACAAAGCAAAGCAAAACAAAACTAAATAAAACAGCAAAATCCATGCCAGATCAGCTGGGCGCTGGGCAGATTAAATAGCTTGGGAAGTCTCTCCCCTTCTCTCTTTTCAAGTAATTGTAATTTTTCATCCTAAATAGTCTGTCACATTATAAGCATTAAGAACACAATTCATTTATTCATCAAAGGTTTGTCACACACCTACCATGTCTTGTGTGTACAAGACTGATGAGGTCCCATAGTGCAGGGACACACAAGAAGCGAGTCGGTAAATCAATAATGTAATTGTCACATAGGGGATAAAATGGCACGTTAAGGCCAGTAAAATAAAAGAGTCGTTCCTATGTGGGATTATTAGAATCGTCAGAGAGGAACTGTTCTCCCAGAGAGTAGTTCTTAGCTGAAAAGAAGTCTCAAATTGTCACTGTCCACAAACCACCTGTTTCTTCTCACAGGTGGAAGCTCAGCCAAGCAGACCACGTGGGAAGGAGGGCACCGGGTCCCAGCCCTGGCTTACTGGCCCGGCCAAGTCCCAGCCAATGTCACCAGTCCTGCCTTGTTAAGGTAGGAGACTCAGATTCCCTTGAGATGTGGAGGTGTAGAGCCAGAACCGTGATGGACCCTAGGGTGGCCAGAGATCTCAGGAAACCCGTTTGCCACCTGCCTTGGCCACATCCTTCCAGAACTCTGAAAGCAGCAGCATGGTTTTGCCCTTGGGCAGCACCACACACTAATTAAAGTCAAGGTACAGTGTAACTCAGCTGTCCTCTGGGGACACTGCCTGAGCAAGGGGGAGATCGAGGTGGTTTCGCATCCTTCATGCTTAGATCCTGGCTGTGGGTGCCAGAGAGTAAGCAGCAGCAAGAGAAGGCAGTGGCCTTGGTCTGGGAGGAATAAATCACTGGAGCCCTCCCTGTACACCCTTGAGGTTAGAGTAGGTGTCCTAGGTGTGGCTATGAGAAGCCAACATGTCTGGCAGTCATATGGCCCCATGAAAGGTGGGCTCTCTTGCCTTGGAGACAGGGAGGCAGGGAGGTGATCCGGTGAGCCAGTAGGGAAGGTGAGAACATTCTTCCTGCCTTCTGCAATGCAGCACCAATGAGAGGCAAGGTCCTAGGTACTTCCTTTCTCAGAAGGAGCCTGGAAGCGTTGCTGTCACACCATTGTATTAAGGCCAGTACAGGAGGCCAATCTCTTGGCAGGGAACTTGGCTGTGGTGTGTCAGTGTGAAAGCAGTGCCATGCAGCTGTGGAACTAGGACTTATGATAGAGACTTCTCACTAGCTCAGAGAGGCCTTTCCTCTCTGTGGTTCTGCCCAACAAGGGGGACTCTCCATAGAAGCCAGTGCTTGTTCGTGGGTCCAGAGGTTTGGTCTGGTTGCAGACCGATTTCCTAGTTCCAGTGCTTCTTTTCCATTAGGCTAATGGACTTTGGCATGAAGAACACAACCCAGTAGAAGAAAGCAATGTCCTTGGCACTGTCTAGCATCTCCCTGCCCAGTGGGCAGGGCGGGAGAGACTGGAGCCCAGGAGAAGGAAAGGGTAAACAGCATTGATAGCCAGAGTAGCGGTGGGTAGGCATCATCCCTGGTAGCCTGCGGGGCGCTCGGGAACTTCAGGTCAGCCCCGTGCTATCAGGAGGGGGCAGCGTGCTGTCAGCAGTTGTAGCAGGTGTGACAACAATGGCGTGGCCTGGAATCTCTGATGTCAGGCTGGCCTGGACGAAAGCCAGACAGGCTGCTTTTCACAGGGTGGACTTGGGTGTAGTCAGAGTGCTTATCAAGAGGGGCCGAGTGTGCACGGGCTGGGCTGCATGTGCACAAATAACTCAGCAGCCTCCTCTCCAGTTACATTACTAGAAACCAAGCGGCCGCCTTTCATTGGGCAGTGGCTTGTGCGCCTGCAGTCAGCTCCTGCACAGTGATAAAAGTGTATGATCTTATTACATTATCGAGGGCCTTTGAAGGTGGCAGCTAACCGAGGAGTTAGTTTGGTGGCCAAAGGAGGTGGGTTCTTGGTGCATGATAGCATTTGCTTGAGGGGTCCTGGAATGTTAATCAGGACACAGCTAACGTGGTATTAGCTCTTCTCAGGACATTTTTGATGTTAAATTAGTTCAGATTGTAGCCAGACACTTCTGCCTCTATGGAGTCTCTAGGTGAATGTGAGTTGAGCTTTCCAATGGCCTGAGCAGGTCTCTGAGTGGCTGTTTCCTTTTCCCTTGACTTGCTCTGGCTGGCCGTGGGGAGAATGGGATTATGACCCTTATTCAATGAACTGGTTGTTCTTTAGAGACCAGGTGCTTATCACCTATTCTGGTACTTTATTTATCAAAGGGTAAAAACTTATTTATTTTATTATTTATTTATCAAAGGGTAAAAATCTCCCAGGTCAAAGGGAACTCCCCTAAACTGCTGAGCGTTAAGGCCAGAGTCTCTTAAACCTGTGCACCATACAGACTTATGGATGAATATAGAAAAGTAAAAAAGCCCTTCTTAGGATATCTGGGGGGAGTCCACACAAATGCCACTGGTTATCTTTCAGCGATAAACAATGTTAATATTTGAGTGTGTGCCCCGTGTTACACTAAGATTACAGATAGGTCTTGCACCTGACCTGTCCCCAAAGCCCGAGGACACAATTACAGAATATAGAAAATCTACTATTTAACAAATGTTAATTGTATGCCCAGCTATGTATCCAGCATTACCCCAAGAGCTGGGGAGTTGGAAAGAAGCAAATCAGACAGAAAAGCTGTTGTTTAGGTGCAAAGTTACATTCAGTATGGGGTTTGGGCACACGTGAAAAAGGGGTGATAGTTTTAGCCTACAACTCTCTACAGTAGAGTTTCTCAAAGTTGGCACATTTGTTGTTGTTTTTTGGTACCGGGGATCAAACTCCAGACCTTGTGCTTGTGAGGCAGGCAGCAGAACCACTGAGCTAAATCCCCGGCCCTTCCTTCAAAGTTGGCATTTTGGACTGGGTAATTCCTGATTGTGGGGACCATCGTATGCATCCTGGGGTGTTTGGTGCCATGCCTGGCCTCTCCTCTCCAAGCAACTGTGAAAACCAGAATGTCCCAGGCAGAGCTAGGTGTCTCCTAGAAGAACAAATATCGTCAACAATGGCAGCTGAAGGTAATTTCCCTTGGTCTTACACGAACAGGAGAGGGGCTGGTTGGCCCTCAAGCTGGGAGACTCTCATCCCCATCCAGAGTGAGGGCCAATCTTCTAGAGAATGGGGACTAGCATGAAGTGACCAGAAGGGAACAAAGGACATTAAATAATCTCTGTTGCAAAAACAGCTCAAACTCTTCTTCAGCCAGAAGAGCAGATAAACCCCTAGGGACCCTCATGCTGTCTTAAGATTTCAGAAAGCCACTTACGCAGAAAGAAGACTCAGCCAGTTCCTTCGTGTCTTGAGGCTTACGGCTGGTCCCAGAGCAGAACTACAGGGAGAACATGTTTGCATCATTGTCCAGAGGTTCGGGTGTCACCCCTGGGCAGGGGCTAGCCACTCTCCATCACCTGGAATCCCAGCTGCTCTCTGCTCTGTAAGGGACATGCACAGCCTGCTATGGGGCCTCCTCTGATGCTCTGGGACCCTGACTTCTAAGAGGGACCTAAGGGTGGGGAGGCGCTGGAGGAAGCTGGGTGGGAGGAGCCACGTGTGACACAGGCTAACTCCTTGAGTCTCTGCAGCTCGACTAGGACCAAGAAGGGGCGGCCTTCATGTTTCTCGAGAATAATGAAAGAGGATGGCAAGGCCTACAGCTATCGTGCTAAAAAGAGTCCCACATCCTAGGGACAGTTCCTGTTTCTCCACTGGAGGAAATTCCTCTCTCAGCTCCTTCACCCGGGCGAGGGATGGATAGAGTAAGTCCCTCTGTCCTAGCCTAAGCACTTCCCGCCTTTGCCTAGCAAGCCCTCTCAGTTCCTACTTTCAGTCCTCAAGTCAGATCCGATGAACTGTCCTTGCTTCCAGGAAACCCTCCCTGTCCATCTTCTTCCTGTACCCGAAGAGTCCCCGCTGCAGCACCCCAGTTCTCATCCATCTGTGGAGTCTGGGGCTGTTTCGTTGGTAGCGAGCCCGGAATCCCTGCCCTGTTGGCACAGCTTGGGGCCCAATAGGCAGAACCCTTCTACATCTTCCTTACCACTGTGCAGCCTCTATTCCCAGGTTCCTGTGCCACTGCTTGGATAAGAACACACACAAAGACGAATGATAAGAGGTGCTATTTGCATACGGTGGAATGATAGTCTGCCGTAAGAAGGCTAAATCTGAGTTATGTGTAGAAAAATAGATGCACCTTGAGACAATAATCTTAGGTGGAATAAATCAGACACAAAAATATTGCATGGTTCCTCTTATATAAGAAACCCGAAGTATAAATAATTTAAAGAGCAGAATAAAAGAAATGTAATAGGAACCAAGGAGAAAGATCTTTTGTAAATGGGAGAGGGACCAAGAGATGGGGGAGGGAGAAGGAGGAGGGTAGGAGAAGGGCAAGAAGAGGAAGGAAGCTGTGTCGTGTACATGCGCCAACTCCCCATGGTGAATACGGCCAACATGTACTAATAAAACTTTTAAAATTCTCTTAAAAGAACACAAATAAATGAGGCACAGAGGTGTGTGCCTGTAGAATCAAGTTCTCAGACGGCTAAGTCAGGAGAATCGCTTGAGCCCAGGATTTTGAGGCCAGCCTGGCAACATAGTGATATCACATCAAATATATATATCCCAGAGATACCACATCCTAAGAACAGACTGCAGAGCCTAGGCTGGCCAAAGCTGTAGAAAGAAAAAGAAAATGTCACCACGGGGGAAGTGGAACTTGCAAAGATGTCAGCCTGCCTGCACTGAGGATCACCCTCTGGTCATGGCACCTCTCGAGCCATTGCGGACCAGGCTCTTGGATGCCCTTCTATAACCAAAGCTCTCAGGGAGGTGGGACTTCTTGTCAGACGCCGGGCCCACGTCTCCGTGGGGCCTGGGAGACTCATGGGCCCGGGTAGTTGTTAATTTCTTTTAAAATTTCAAGCGAAAACACTGAACTTTTAAGTGGAATAGTACGGTTTGTGTATTCATATTTATGTCAGTGGTGCTATAAAATATAATTTCTAATTTTTTTAATGGAGGAAGAAGCTCATAAAAGCACCCACGTCTCAAGAAAGTCTATGCATTGCTTTATCAAAGCCAAGGACGAGGGTCTGGGGTTGTGGCATAGTGGAGAACCCTTGCCCAGCATGTGCACGGCCTTGGGTTTAATCCTGTGTTACAAAAAGAACAACAGCAGCAAACAAACAAACACACAAACAAACAACAAACCCCAAACACCAGAAATGAACAACTTGAAAACAGTTTTGTCTTGGCTTTGTTTTGTTTATTCTCTTTCTCCAATGTTTCAGACACTCAGGGCTAATTTCTTAGGTGGAATTTGAGGTTTGGAATAGCCGGGCTACCTTCGGAAGGCTTCGCAGGGTGGACGCACAGTCCCAGCGCCCCCAGTTCAAGTGTAGCCTGGGGTCCCAAGCCTAGGATGGAGGCAGACCTCAGGGTTTGGCTTCCCCTTTCCTTGAGGAAGAACTTTTTGACAGCCTGAGCTTTCTGGTGGGCGTTGGACTGGCCGGCCGAGAGCAGGGTGAGTCAGCAGAGCCCGTTGAAGTTTCTCTCGTAGGCAAGAGGTTTTCTTTGTGCTAGGAATGGACTAGGTACCTCAGGGTGTCTGCCAAATCTGAGACACTAGAATTCTGTACTATATAATTTAGGGTGCTAAACCTCATGATAGAGGGAGAGAAAATAAGACGGAAAAAGAAAGGCTACATTACATTCCAAAACACACTGCAGATTCTGTTTTTCTTGCTTACTGATTTGACTCATCAGTGACGCCAATTTCTCTTAAGATGGAAAAAGAAAGCACACAATACATACTAAAATCTAACATGGATACCATTTTTGTTTGCTGATTTGACCCATCTGTGATGCTGATCTCCTTTAGTGCAATTTAAAAGAAAAACGAGAACAAACAACCCTAACCCACCTGGGGCTTTTCAGACTGCACTGTAGTCTTCTTCACTTCCCAGTTTGTGGCAGGAACCCTGGACTTGGGACAGGTTTCCAGGCTGTTTTGTCCCCTGCGAGTGCCGACTCAGCCTTCCATGCCTGCGACGCTGGCTCCCAGGGCGTGGATCTCAAGAGATAGACCCACTGGTTTTGTGGACTGCGAAAGTTTCAGGAAAACAGAGACCCTGAGTACTGTAGTTCACAGAGATCTTTTCTGCTCCTGTGGGCAGAGCCCAGGTAGGGGGAGAAGTAGGCTAACCGGAGGAGAAGCAGTGAACCCCTCCTCAGACCTCGGGGTGGGGACCCTGGGGACATGAGGCCCTTGAGGCCTGCCTGGGTATGGGTCTGGACTCTGGGTCCCAGGCTTCTGTCTCAGGGAAGTCAAACTTGAGAAGGACCTCACGCTGGCTCAGCCCTCTGGCTCCTGCAGGTCCCGTTCACCCTCACCTGGCCCTCGGGTACACAGAGCTGTTGAAAAGGCAGCTGCTCTGTTCTTGCTGGAGAGTTTTTTCCAACATGAGCCCAGCAGGCCAGAGGGAGATGTGGCATGTGATAGAGTAAATTGTACCGCATGACTTCTAAGAAATCACATTCGCAAAACTCACCGAAAAGTTAACTGTGGTTGCCTTGGGAGGATGGACTATTTCTATGTTGTGCTCTCTTATATTTCTGGATGTTCTATTTATTTTTTCTACCATAAACATTCACTATTTTGTAATTGGCAAGAAGAATTAAAATAGTGGGGGCGGAATGTTTCACGTATCATGGCTACAATTTCACATATTGTGACTAAAGGCTAAATATTGTAAGGCAGAGAACTAGGCAATGAAAATGAAGTAATTTCTCTTGCAGGCACCTGTCACACTGTGCCCTCTAAGCAAGTGGCCATGGCCTAGTTGGCAGGTAGAGCCCTTAGCACTTAGATCGGTTAACTATAATACAATATCCAGTGCCAGGTCATCTCCTGCGTGCCCTTCCTGCGTGTTTTAGCCACACACTCACTCTGTGGGGTAGGCACTGCTATTAAAATGTCCATTTTATAGGGTAGAAAACCGAGGCACTGAGAAGTTAGATAGCGGTAGAACTGGGATTTGACCCCAGGCAACCCTTGGTGGCAGAGCCTAGGAACTGAACTACACATCGGTCTTCCTCTCATAGCAGAAATCGGGGTAAAACCTGAAGGAAAACCAGGCAGGTAACGATGACTCTGTAGAGCGGTTGGCAGTATTTGCCCTGGGCCAGTTTGGATGGGTTTTGGCCACAGCAGGGCCAGGGAGAGGTCGGAAGAGCTGGGACCAATTGTGCCTTGTTCTTTCTTCAGTGTGCTGGACATCTTCCCCACGGTAGTGGCCCTGGCTGGAGCCAGCTTGCCCCAGGGCCGGCACTTTGATGGACTGGATGCCTCCGATGTGCTCTTGGGCAGGTCGCAGATGGGACACAGGGTAAGTGAAGGAAGCCTGTGCCTGCATCCGGTCTCTGCAGAAGGATGGGCTGTCATACCTCATCGGGTGCCTGGCTGCATCTGCAAGTGCTGATTCAAACCGCGTGTGAGAAACCCTGAGGGAGAAGTTCTTTGAGATGAACCTCTCACCCCACCCCGCCCATAATAAATCCAGTTTGTTAATCCAGATTTCTACTTAATAAGTTGGCATAGGGTAAGTGTAAATGGTTGCTTATTCTCATAATTGATAATTTTTTTCTCTGCATATATTGTTTGAGGACACAACATCGCATGATGTTTTTGTTGGATGAGATGTCTGATCAGTGCTGTGACTTGTTTATTGTGAGGCTCCCCATCTAGACCCAAAGTTTCCAGAGGGCAAGGATCCCGGCTCTTGGGTTCACCCCTAAGCGCCTGTCCCATGTATGCATTCACTTCCTGCAACATGGGAGAGAAAATGAAGGAGCGGATGAATGAATGAAAGCCTTTCTGGAGAGCACAGCCTGCGTGGTTGTTATGCTCCTGACATTTCCAGGAGAGCTCAGGGCCCTTCCCACAGCCTGTTCCTGATCAAACAGCCCTGGCAATGGCTTTGGGCTTCTGTTACCCAGCGTCACCTCCTTAGCTTCCCCTCTTCGGTGTGTTTGAAGCCCTCTATAGCAACAGCAGCCAGGAAATGTTGGTCCTGATGGCCTTTCCCTGTCATTTCCATGTGTTTTCCTCTCACTAAAAGGAAGAGGAAGTGGGAGGAGGGAAGGGGGCTGAAGAGCTTGCGGCCCCCTGTAGAAGACTCCCACTTGGGGGCCCACATTTCAAAGGGTCTATTTATGTCTTTGAGGGTCAGGTGGAAGTGAGTCAGATGTACTCAAGTGCACCTCGCTGGTGGCTGTTCGCATTGCCTTTCCCTCCCCGCCTCCCCCAGCCAATGGAATTTGGGCCTTCAGTGGGCCTCTGGGGCATCTGTGGATATTACTGTGGTCTTCAAGGGTTGTCAGGGTAGTCCCGAAGAGGTCCTCTGAAGAGATCTTGCCATTCCCTGGAATATCTGCCTTTCCAGAGCTGCAGACCCCTCCAGGCCTGGCCCTTCTCCGGGACGGACCAAAGCATGAAAATGGTTTCCGCCTTCAGCCTGGAAGTTAGCAGTGTGTGACCCTGGAGGGTTATCCAGGACGTCAGTGGAGAGGTGCTCCTGAATGTTTATTGCCATGGCTACTACTAGAATAATCAGGGTCACCAGGAAGTGCTTCAAGGACTGTGGTCTTCTTGACGTGGTCGTTCTGCCTGTGGATGCCAGCTCCTTGGCGCTCTCACTTCCGTTCCCAGGGGGAGCGCTCACCCTCTTCCTCCGTTCTCAGCTTTGCACAGAGTGCGGAGGCCCATCCCAGCTCCTACACAGGAATGAGGCCCAGCTGGGAGCAGCAAATGCAAGTCTCGACACTGTTGTGGGGGCGGGTGATGTGTGGTGATGCAGCTGCAGTGAGCTCCCTAACCACACCTGATGGCCCGGAAAGACGCAGGCAGCTTGCCGCCTGCAGGAGGCTGCTGATGGTATCTTCAAAGCTACCGGCACAAGAGTGCTGGCACCTGTGCGCTGCACCCAGCCTCACAGAGCACCAGATCTCTCCGATGCTGGTGAAGGCCCTCAACCTAAAGCTCTTCGGAGTTTGAGGACAACATGGGTAGTTAGTTGCTAGTGCCGAATTTGGGTTTGGTCTTCTCTGGTGAGTCTTCCTGTTGAAGTGAAATAGTAGGATGAAGGAGATAAAATTGTTTTGAATTTAGAGTAGCTTTAAGGGAGGCAGCAGATACAAATGTAAATCCACATCTGTACACATATGTATTTAGCACATAATGTGTTTCTTAGCAAACACAGTTTATATTCACTTACCGATGTGTCCTGCACTTATAAATTATCCACTATGGGCTGGTTTACAAAACTACTCCAGTTTCTCAAAGCTCATAGTACTTCCTAGCTGGTCAGCCCAAAACATAACTATGCACACGCTTCTCAGCAATTAGTTTCTTTTCTGTATTACACATTAAGTAACCACGGATCAAAGGAATGAGCAACCTAAAGCCACGTACCTCAGCCACCAGGTTGGGAGGTGTGACGCAGACAGTGGGCTACTAGCTCTCCCTCACGTGAGCTCACGACACGCATGTCCGTGACCCTCAAAACCCACAGCAGCTGACACCTTGCTACACAATTCCACATATTCAGCCTCCCTCTCCTGATTTCAGGGGCAGGTGCTGGGGATGGAACAAGGGGGCGTCACACTGAGCTACATCCCCAGCACTGTTTTTTTGTTTGTTTTGTTTTTGACATGATCTTGTTAAGTTGCCCAGGCTGGGCTTGAATTTGTAACAAAGAGAAAGTTTCCAATGGCCCAAGCCCGCCAGCCCAGCCCACCCTGAGGCTGAGGTGGGCACATCCCCAGAGGCCATATGTTAAGGGAACAGCCCAGGTTACTGTCCCAACACACATCACTTCTCTTAGGGAGGCCCCTAGTGGTGAAAGATGTCATCTGGTGTGGTTTGCGGAGACCCATGGCCCCATGCGCCCCTTTTGGAGACTGTGAGCCGGCACGCTTGCCAGGTGTCTAGGCCTGGGGATGCTGTCTAGGCTTGGCCTCCAGGACCTAATGTAATAGATTAAAAACAAAGCAATTCCCGGGGTGTGGTGCTGTGTGCCTATATTCCTACCTCCTGAGGAGGCTGAGGCAGGAGGAGGATTGCTGGATCCTAAGAGTTTAAGACCAGGCTGGATGACACAGCTAGGGTGCTATCTCAAAAGAACAAAAAACAGCAACAAAAAAGCAAATCAGGTGTGGGTCATCCCTATAATTCCAGCATTCTGTAAAGCTGAGGCAATAGGATCCCAAGTTCAAACCCAGCCAGGGCAATTTAGCAACTCAGTAAGACCTTGTCTCAAAATAAGAAATAATGGAGCTAGGGATGTAGCTCAGTGCAAAGGTCCTAAGTTCAATCCTGGTAGCACAAAACAAACAAGGAAACAAACAAAAAAGCAAAGCAAACAAAATGGTTAAAAAAAAAAAAAGGCAAGCGAGAAGTCCCAAATTTGTAGTAGAGAAAGTCATCTTTGAAATTTAGACCAAGCATCTGGAAAAGAAGAAGCTCAGCTGTGATTCACGGTGAACGTGCCAGCTTTCTTGCTATGTTCATGTAGACAAGCAAGTCACAGCCAGGCAGCTCAAAGGAAAAGAATGCATGCACGAGTTCCTCAGAGCCCATCCCCATTTGTGAGAACAAGCCAACGCGCAATTTTGCTTCCTGACGGATTTTGGAAGTTGCTTCTGGTGGAATAGGCAGCCCAGCCCCTGGGATGCAGATGCCCCCTAGGGTTGAAGGGCCAGCCTTGACCTCCACCCTTGAGATATGAGCGCATCCCAGCTCAGCTGACAGCAGGTTGTCCTAGCGTCCCCCTTCGTGCGTTGGAAAGACGTAGAGTGGCCCCCTGAGAGAGGCTGGCTTTCTGCGGGGTGAAAGAAATGAGGTTTCCGTTCCGACTTCCTTTCCCATTTGGAAGGAGCCTGCTGTCACCATGCAGGGTTGACACGAAAGAGCACCAGAATAGCAGGTGTGGAGGAGCCCTGCCCTGGGCGGCATCCTCTCAGGGCTGTGAAGCTTGGGGCACAGCTGTTTACTGCTCCAACAGATGTTCCTTATTTTTTTCAAGCCCCATGGAAACTCTGAATCACGACCATCTTTCCAGCGATATATCTGGCCATGATTCATACCAGGGCAGTCTCATGGGTCCAGCCCAAGCCGACAACCTACCAAAGACTCAGACCTTTTATTTTCTACCAGACTCTTCCCTTGGGAACTCTGAATAGATGTTTCCATTCTTTAGGGTGATTCTTTCATCTGCGACTGGATGAGGGAAGATTTCCTTAGTTCAAGTACAGTAGGATTGAGTCAGAGGCGCTGGCTTCCCTGATCAGAAGTTAGGTTGTGGGTAGGGGTGTGGTTCAGGGTAGAGAGTGTGCCCTTGGTTCGATTCCCAGCACCAAAAAAGAAACTCACAGGTCCAGAGATTAGGTTGTACTCGGGGCTGGAGAAATTGAGAATGTTTTCTTATATTGTCTTTGTTCAAGGGAAATGTGGAAAATTGACTTGAGGCTGAAAGAGGCTCCTTCCTTACTTCCTTCTTTCTCCCTGCCTCTCTCTGTTTTTGCTATACTGCAGATTGAACCCAGGGTCTTTGGACTGTGCCAAACAGCCAGCCCTTTTAAAATTTTTTCTTATTTTGAGGCAAGGTCTCAATAAATCACTTAAGTTTCCCATGCTGTTCTGGAACATGAAATCTTCCTGCCTCAGCCTTTTGAAGGAGCCATTTTCCAAAGAGATCTGAGGATGGGCTGCATCAGAATCCCTGAGGATACTTGTAGGCAAGCCCCTTCTGCACTGGAGGGGTGGGCCTCGGGCAAGCCTCCTGGAGGTGAAACTCATGGAAGCCACATACCCTGATTCTTAAAGGACCCAGAGCTTGGTTTAAATCTCTGCTCTGCCTGTTTTGAAATGTAAAATGTGTAAACAAGGTATGCCTGATTTTTTTGAGACAGGGTTTCACTATATAGTTCAGGCATTCTTTGAACTCACTATGTCGCCCAGGCTGGCCTCAAACTCATGACAATGCTCCTGCCTCAGCCCCCAGAATGCTAGAAATTACAGGCGTGCGCTGCGCACCATGGCTGGCCTGATTTTCATTTTGCACTGGATCCTGCCAGTTCCAGAGCCGGTATCGTGCGCAGGCATCTGACCCACCCAGCACGATGTTTCATTCCCGGTCCAGAGCTGTAGCCCACTCCTCTTGTACAGCTAGAACAGTGACAGTTCGTGAGGCTTCCAGGAGCTGGCTAAGGCGAGCTCCGGGTGGGCCTGCAGTGTGTAGGGTGGGAACAGGAAGAACTGGAGGGCACTGTGTCCTGACGGCAGATCCTGCCTTCCTCAGGTGCTGTTCCACCCCAACAGCGGGGCCGCCGGGGAGTACGGAGCCCTACAGGCCGTTCGCCTGGAGCGGTACAAGGCCTTCTTCATCACGGGTGAGTGGGGTCCCCTGCAGGGCGTGGGGACTGCCCCTCTCAGTCGTTCTAAGTGCTGCTGAGGAATGCTACCTCCAGCTGGGCAGAAGGGCCCGCACAGGGCCCCTAGACCCACCGAAACAGTTCCTCCTGTTGAATTTCCAGCAAGCTCAGAGCTCTTGGGATCCGTTCTGCTCCTTTCACCCAGTGCCAGTTTGGCTAAAGGAGAAATGGAAGCCCAGAGATGCTTTAAAGTAATTTACTTGACTACACAGTTTCAGAAAATAGAGGTCAGAGGTCTATTTAGTAAAGTGCCAGAGGTTTCTGTGCTTCTTGGTTTGCTCTGTGAATGTCTTACATGTGTATTTCAGAAACATCACTCCCGATCAGGGTGGTTCTCAGACCCTCTCAGTGGCCGCTCGGTGGTGCCTGAATGGAAACTCATTCCTGGGTTCCGTTAATTTCCAGCTCTGCTTCTCCACAAGCAAGGCCCCTCTTTGTTGACCCGTATTAAAATACCTCTCAGCTTTTAAGGCCCCAAACTAAATACTATCTTGGTTACAAAAGTCCGGCCAGCCTTCCCAGCTGGGCAGGATTTGGAGAATCCTGATCTCTCTCTCATTCTGCTGTAGATGGCAGTGATGATATACGTGTTCTATTTCCTCCACTAATTCTAACCTCTTTAAACTTAGGACACTTCAGTTTTTTTTAATGTCTTGTTTTGAAGTGCTTAAGTCAATTTCCACTTAGTAGAAACTCTCATTTTCTTAATGAATGAATGGGGAAAAATGCAAAACCCAGGACCTGATAAAGATTCCAATTTGATTTAGTTGTTTAATGTTGGAGATTTCTAGAGTTGCATAATAAAAAAACAAAAATTATTTTCTCTGAGTGTCAATAAATGACCCCAAAGAAAATGTGGCATCAAAAGCAAGGCAAGTTCTCTGAATTTATAATTCAAAGGATATTAAAAATGTCATAAGAATCTGTGTTGCTCTAAACCCTAAAACAAAACAGTCCGATATTTGCTATGGTTTCAGATGAAAAGTACTGAGATTAGAGTCCTTACATTACACTATCGAAGAGGTATGGGACCTCCAGGCTGAGTTAATTTCAGAAGTAATAACGCTGCCAGAAAGCCCTTGGCATCACAGTGTTGGAATCATAAATGTTGCTGTGAAGTAATAGGGCTGTTTAAAGCTATCACAATCAGACAGGAATTAACAATACCCAGCAGAGGCCTGTCCTTCAGAGGCGCCACCAGACTCCCAAGAGAGGTAGGGTGGGGAGCGAGCGCTGAGCTCTCGACACGCAGAAGAAAATCATGAATAGGGCAAAACACGGATATGTTCTCATTCCTACCCCACTCCTTTACAGTTTGCATTCTGATTATTTAAAACTGCTTTTGGATAAGGTAGGTGAACTGACATCTACTCCATTAGGTCAGAGAACACGGTGTCCCTCGGCGATGGGGCTATGAGGTTATTATGGTCATGAGCTGGGAGAGGCCTGAAGAGACAGCCAGTCTGTTTTGGTGTGTGGGCTAGAATTAAGGTACCTCATTGCTTTTCTGTTTCCTTTTTATTTTTAATAAAATAATTATGATGAATTTTACACTCAGCAGAAGGCACAGATCTGAAATGTACAATTGATGAGTTTACCAAGTGCCCACACCTGTATATGTAGCTTTTCATGTCATGCATTGCAAGAACTGATTTTGAGTTACTAAGCCAACTTTGCATTCCTGGGTAAACCGCACTTTGTTATGATGTTGTTATTATGCTTTTTAATACATAACTTGGCCAAGATTTGTTTGTAATTTTCCTTTCTTGTAATGCCTGCGTCAAGGTTTGGTATTGGGGTTTTGCAAATTTTATAAAATGAGGTTGTAAGAGTTCCCTTCCTGGTATTCTGAACGGGTTTGGATAAGATTTTTTTTTTTCCATTTTTGATGAAATTCATTTGTGAAACTATTTGCCAACTCCAGTGCTGTAAAGATTTTGCCCTATGTTTTCTTCTAAGAGCTTTTATTGTTTCAAGTCTTTAATCCATTTTGAGTTAATTTTGCATGTGGGGTTAGGTAAGAGTCCACCTTCATCCTTTGACTTGTTGATGTCCAGGTTTCCTAGCACATTTAAAGTTTATCTTTTATCCCACCAAACGGGCTTGGCACGCTTGTGAAAATTATTTTGTTATATATTTAAGAGATTATTTCCAATCTCTGTTCTACTCCATGAGTTTATAAGTCTGTCTTTATGCCGATGCCATACTTTTTGATTACTATAGTTTTGTAGTAAGTTTTGAAATCAGGTAGTATGAGTCATCTAGCTCTGTTTTTCCTTTTGAGATTGTTTTGGGTATTCCACATCCTTCAGATTCCATGTGGATTTTAGGGTAGCCTCTGTAATGCTGAAAAAATGTCATTGGGATTTTGGTTAAGGATTGCATTGATACTATAGATATAGATCAATGTTGGTGGCATCAACATTAACAAGATTAACAATATTTACTCTTCTAATCCATGAGATGAGGTGTGTTTTATGTCATGTTAAATTTTTTCAATGTTTTATGGTTTTCGTTGTACAAGTGTTTCTCTTAATTCATATTTTATTCTCTGTGATGCTGTTGTAAGTGGAATTTCTCAATATCCTTTTAGATTGTTAATCATTGTTAGTGCTTAGAGATGTAAGTGACCCAGGTGATTTATTTAAACTTTTGGAATCTCAGTTCTTTCATATTTAAAACATAGTAATGCCCTTTTCTCCTTTCCTTTCCCTTCCTTTCTTCCCTCCCTCCCTCCCTTCCTCTCTCTTTCTTTCTTCTGTCCGATCTATCTATCTATCTATCTGTCTAAGGTACTGGGGACTGAACCCAGGGCCTTCACACTGATACATCCTCGACCCTTTTTAATTTTTAATTTTGAGACACTAAATTGCCCAGGCTGGGCTTGAACTTGCAATCCTTCAACTTCAACCTCCCAGAGTACTAGGATCACAGGCATGTGCCACCCTGCCTGACTGGGTATTGAATCTGTCAGATGCTTTTACCATACCAATTGAGATTATCATATTTTCTTTTTTCTCTTCATTCTGTTAATGTGGCATATTATATTGATTTTAATTTGCTGAGCCATCCTTGTGTTCCTGGAGTAAATTCCAGCTGATCTTGTAATATGGCCAAATTTGATTTCCAGTATTTGGTGGTGGAGGATTTTTTAAAAAAATTATTGTTCTTAAGGGATATTGGCTTGCTGTTTTCTCATACTATCTATGTCTGCTTTGGGTATTAGGGTAAATGTTGGCCTTATGGAATGAATCAGGAAGTGTTCTTCCTTCTTCAGGTTTTTTTTTTTTTTTTTTTTTTTTTATTTTG